GGAGAACCGGTAGTGGAACTTTTGAGTAGTTTGGAGAACCGGTAGTAAAAATTCCCTGTTCTCTGCCTCCCATGTCCCAGCTGATCGGGAGGAAATGGGGATTTTGCAGTAACCTTCCCCTGGAGTGGAGAGGGAATGGAGATTTTTACAATATCCTTCCCCCGCCACACCCACCAAGCCACACCCACAGAACTGGTAGTAAAAATTTTTGAAACCCACCACTGGTATGTATGTTTATGTGTGTATGTGTGTGTGTAAATATATGTATGTATGTGTATATATTAAGTGTTTTTCTGTCGAAGCACCTGGTCTGCCCCCATATGGGAGGGAGCATTCTGCTTCCCTTTCGCCTTTCAGCTCCAATCCAGGAGCCCTCAAATAGTCGCATTCATGACAAACTATTTTATACCAAATTTATACAAATATAAATGTGTGTGTATATGTATTCATGTATGTATGTATGTATGTATATGTATTTTCTTACTCTTTGTAGGATTTATGTGTGTTTTTCTTTTAGCCAGGTTTTTCCTACGTAACCAAGGTTTTTCTGCAGAAAAACCTTGGTTATGTAGGAAAAACCTGGCTAAAAAAAAAACATGTATATGTATCTCTCTATATATGTATATATATGTGTGTATTTGTGTATAGTTAATATTTCGGGTTTCTTCCCGTGTATATATATATATATACATACATATACACACACACACATATATATATGTATATATATATATACACATACACTACATATATGATAATCCGAAGCAAATATTTAACATCTACATAATTATATCCATTAACTGTAACTATATAAACTTACGTTTCTGATTTCTGTGAGATAGGTGTGCAAATATACGCACGCACCCAAACAAGCACAATTAGGTCTTCCTTAGATGCTTTTTTTTTTTACTCCAAGATTTTTGCGGCTGGTTGCTCTGTACTTTTTTTGGCCTCTTCCTATCTCTATCTCCAAATAGAACCTTAATGCTGGGGCGCCCAAGTACCTGGTTGCTAGGCAGAGTGGGTGGGTTGCCGTAGCAACGCCAGCTGTTCAGTGAAAGTCCTGGGTCCTTCCCAGGCCCTTGGGGGGGATGCTCTTGTCAGTTCCAGTCCCTCTGTTAGTATCTGCAGGGCTGCTTATGCCCCCCCCTCTTAATTTTGGGTGCCCAGTGGGGGAATAGCAGGTTTTTCAAAATAATTCCTAGGGCTGAGTTATGGTAGTTTGTTGGAAATTTGATTTTTTTAGAATTGCATGGCAGATAAAAAGGTATTTGTTAGATTATCCTATGCAGTGAGTGCACCACCCTTTTAGGTTTTGAAGGATGCTCATATATTGAAGTCAGCTAAAAGGATTTTGCCTCTAATTCTAGCAAGAACAAGATATAGTTGCCCATTTCCCCTCAGGTATATAATTATGTATATAATGATTAAATTAGGCAGCATAATACAGCAACTCTTTCTGGCCTGGTTTGCGAATATCTAGGGGATATCAATATTTGACTGTAGTTGTAACTACGTTGCATTATTGGTCTTTGTCCATTTTTAACCACCATCCAAATATCAAGTTGTGCGTTACAGCTTGATCCATCTTTGTGGGGTTCATTTGCCTCTCGCCACTCTAAGAATCACAATGGAATATTACAACTCCATGTTTTCTGGCACTGGATAAATCTTGCAGTCTTATATAAACAAAGCCATAGTTAGAATGGGGGGTGCTTCTTTGTCAGTCTGGGGAAAGAGAAACGGCAGCGGTAAAAACATCTTCTAATTTGCAAAGGTGTTTTTTTTTTAAAAGCCATCATGACATCATATACAAATGACACAAATTATTACTGGCATAATTTGCATACAGATAGTTTTTTGACTCACAACTGTAATCACAATTTCCATTGCTAATCAAGGCAGTTGTGAAATAAATCACACCTGATTTTGCAATCTTTTTAGCAAATCACTGCTGTTGTTAAGTGGATGGTGCAATCGTGTGACTTTGCTTATTGGAAGCCAGCAGGTAAGATCACCAATGGCAATCACACGACCCCACTGCCGTTGTAAATACAGGTAGTCCTCGCCTTACAACAATTCACAGTGACTGAAGTTACAACGGCACTGAATAAAGTGACTTATGACATTTTTCACACTTATGACCATTGCAGCATTCCCATGGTCACGTGATTTACATTTGGATGCATGGCACCTGGCTCATATTTATGACAGATTGCAAAGTCTCGGGGGTCACATGATCCCCTTTTGTGACCTGACTAGCAAAGTAAATGGGGAAGCCAGATTCGCTTAACAACCATGTTACTAATTTAACAACTGGGGTGATTCACTTCACAAATGTAGCAAGAAAAGTTGTACAATGGGGCAAAGCTCACTTAACAAATGTTTCACTTAGCAACATAAATTCTGGGGTCAACTGTGGCCGTAATCTAGGACTACCAGTATATGCCACTGGCCAAGTGCCTGAATGTTGATCAGGTAACCGTGGGGACGTGCTAATATGGGTCTCCAATAATTTGATAAATGGACATAAATGTGGGAATGAGTCATTGGTCACTTTTTAAAAAAATACCATATTTTTCGGAGTATAAGACCACCAGAGTATAAGAGGCACCTACCTTTTTTGGTGAGAAAAAGAAGAAAAAGAAATCTCCCTCTGCCTCTGAGCAATTTTGCCACATTGCAGCAAACAGCAAACAGCTGCTTTACTTTCATTTTCGTTTTCAGCATAGCTTGATTAGCACAAGGGGAAAAAAATCTGCTCCAGCAATTTACCTCTTTGCAGCAAGCAGCAGAGCCCTGCGCAAAACAGCTGAGAGCAAATCAGCTGAGAGTCGGGAGGCCGATCCAATCAACTTGTGCTAATTAGGCTGTGCTGAAGCTGAAAGGAGCTGTTTCTTCTTGCTGCTTGCTGCAAGGAGGTAAACTGCTGTGAGGCAGAGGCCAAAGGGTGTGGGCCAGTGGGTGGGCGGGGCTACATTCAGTGTATAAGACACACCTAAATTTTCACCCCCTTTTAGGGGGGAAAAAGGTGCGTCTTATACTCCGAAAAATACGGTCTCAAGTATAGCGGCCAGTCTCAAGTTTATCTGCAGGAAGTTGATCTATAACTTTTAAGATATATGATATATGCCTCCGAATAGATTACAGTGAACTATGGACTATTTCAAAAGGCTAAAAAACAAGGATTAATTAGAGTGCTCTTGCATTCATTGATACAAGAAACCAAATGTTCAAAACCAGGAGGAGGAAGAAACATTACGGTGTCCATTCACCCAAAATAAATATCCAGATGACATAAACTTTTCATCAAACGTGGCAAAGTTCGTTCAAACAAAAGAAGCGTTTTCAAAATATTTATAACCGCCGGTGATTTAATAGTATGGTATGGACAGTATCTACTAGATTAGAAGGCCAATCTTATGTAGGCTTATTGTGAAGTACATTCCTGTGCATTGAACAGAATTTAAGTAGTCTTATGATTCAGTAGGACTTTGGGGAAGCTTATGAGTTTGTGCACTTCTAAGCTTAATAACTCAGCTGGATAACTTGAATGTAAACATACATTTTGACTGAAAAATGGACTCAGGGTTTCAGGCTTCTCTAGAAAGGATCAAGGTTAAAAGAAAGATAGTAGTGGGTTTTAGTATAGGCAGGGGTGAAATTCAGCCGGTTCTATCCGGTTCGGGCGAATTGGTAGCGGTGGCTGCGGGAGGCTCCGCCCACCCGCGCAGACGTCATGACGTCGCTTTTTTTGGCGACATTTTAAGCCTCTGTTCATGCGCAGAAGGCTTTGCGCATGTGCAGATAATGGCACGAGCACATTTGCGAACCGGTAGGCAGGGTAAGTGAGTATAGGGTGGTTAAACTGGGTTCATACAAGCTGTGGTTTCTTCTAAGAGCTGATTTATGGAATAAGCCACATTGCTTCTCATGCTTTCCTCCTGACACTTTTTTCTTGGACAGGAGCTTGGATCAGGATCTAAAGATCTCCCTGGCAAGATGAAAGCAGAAATGCCAATGGCAGGTTGAAGATGCCAATTATTGCTCAAAGGAACCCGGGAGCGCACACGGCAAACAGGTTTTTGCAGTTTTGGTTGATATTGCCTATTGTTACGAAAGCCGAGATATTTAAAAGGCAGGGAAAGCAAGTTAAAAGGACCTCTCTCTTCCCATAACAGAACAGCTGTAGTCACTAGGAAGCTCTTGATGTACTTAGCAGATAGCCAAGGGATTTGAAGCCAAACATTGAAAAATCCCGACTCTTATCGGCCAGGTGGGAGTAGAAATGTTGAAATGTATTTGAATATAAATAGTTGGTCTGAGCTCTGAGCTTGGCAGTTTGGTTGCAACCAACAGTCCATGGTGAAATGTGCCCTACAATGTTTTACCCACAATATCCTAAGGCCGAAAGGTTGAGCAGGTTTCATGAGATTTTGCCATCTCTGCAGAGAGGAACAAACCCCCCAGGCCTGACTCAATTTGCCATTCCTGAGGGGAGGGACAAACCTCCCCCCCCACTCCCAATTGCTTAAAGGATGCAACATTAAAAATGGAGGCCTTTCCATATTATAAGCTTAGATAAAGATGGCAAAGGTAATTATTTGTTAATTATCTTTTAATATGGGTCTGTGATGGCTCAATGGTTAAAGATGCAGAGCTTGTCAGCTACAAAGCTGACAGCCTGGGTTTGAGACCTGTGCGACGGCTGAGCTCCCGTTCTTTGCTCCAGCTCCTGCCTGCCTAGCAGTTTGAAGTATGTAAATGTGAGTAGATAAATAGGTACCACTTCAGTGGGAAAGTAACAGTGTTCCATGCACCTTTGACGTATAGTTATGCTGGCTATCTGACTAAAGAAATTGTCTTCGGACAATGCTGGCTCCATGACCAAGAACCGAAGAGGAGCACAGTGCCCTAGAGTGGGGCACGACTGATAGGGAAACTTATCTTTTTAAAATCTTTTAATGGGTCCATTGCAGGGATGCTATTTAGCAGATTCTGGAGAACCGGTAGCGGAAATTTTGAGTAGTTCAGGGAACCAGCAAATACCACCTCTGGCTGGCCTCAGAGTGGGGTGGGAATGGAGATTTTGCAATATCCTTCCCCCAGGAGTGGGGAGGGAATGGAGATTTTGCAGTATCTTTCCCCTGCCACACCCACCAAGCCACGCCCACCATGCCACACCACGCCCACCAAGCCACACCCACAGAATCGGTAGTAAAAAAAAAAAGAATTCCACCACTGGTCCATTGAATTCAATATTCCTTAAACATTCATTAAGGTTCAAGGGAGTTATTTCATTACTTTCATATCAAAAAAGGGGGGAAAAGAGAAAAAGACTGAAAAACCAACAGGGGAACAAAATAAATGGTTAATTTACTTTTTGAGATGTGTTTTCCCAATTGTCTCTAAACAGTTGCAAAATTTGCACTTTCACTGATGGCTTAAAGAAACCACATGGAGGGACTTTTTGATTTATTTTTCTAACTGCAAGATAACACAATGGCAAAAGTGTACAGAGAAGTGGTTATCTGGTGTTACAAACCTAAGGGAAAGTTGCTACAGTATTTCCAAGAGGCGTGACCTTGCTTTTCTTGAGAAATTACTGTGTATTGGGTGTTTTGTTAAATCTAACATTTAAAACATTTCCACATGTTCCACAATCCTTCTTCCCTTGCAAACATTTTGCAGCTGAGCAGGGAGTTAATCAAACCCCAATTTCTAAGGGAGACTCATTTCTATCACATTTCATTGGGGAAAAAAACCAGCAGACACTTGGCAAACCGTGCCTGCAGCTCCTAACTATTGGATTTCCACAGCTCCCTTCTTAAGTTATGGCTACAGACCACAATTGCTCGATCCAGACAGCACATTAAAAATCAATCTCAAACCAATTACAGGTAGTCCTCAATTTATAACCAAGACTGAGGCCAGGATTTTTCTGTCGCGAATCCAAGATGGTTAAGTGACTCGCCCTTGATTTTACGAGGTTTTTTTTTTTGGCCAGGGTTCAGCAAACTGTTGCAGTTATTAAGTGAATCAGCTGGTTGTTAAACGAATCCAGCTTCACCCCCATTGACTTCACTTGTTGGGAGCCAATTGACAAGCTTGCAATGGTGATCACATGACCCTGGGAAGATGCTGCAACTTTTGTAAATACAGGCCAGTTGCCAAGCATTCAAATGACGTTTGAGGACCACTTGTAATTCACTTTTTTTTTCCAGTGCTGTAACGACAGTCACTAAATGAAAGATTGTAAACCGAGGACTACCCGTATAACAGATTAACAGAGTCGGAAGGGACCTTGTTAGGTCATCTAAATCTAATCCAACCCCATTTGCAATGCACAACTTAATATCAGGTTATAGCAGGGGTGAAATCCAGCAGGTTCTGACAGGTTCTGGAGAACCGGTAGCGGAAATTTTGAGCAGTTTGGAGAACCGGCAAATGCTACCTCTGGCTGGACCCAGAGTGGGGTGGGAATGGAGATTTTGCAATGTCCTTCCCCCAGGAGTGGGGAGGGAATGGGGATTTTGCAGTATCCTTCCCCCTGGAGTGGGGTGGGAATGGAGATTTTGCAGTGTCCTTCCCCCAGGAGTGGGGAGGGAATGGGGATTTTGCAGTATCCTTCCCCTGGAGTGGGATGGGAATGGAGATTTTGCAATATCTTTCCCCTGGAATGGGGAAGGAATGGGGATTTTGCAGTGTCCTTCCCCCGAAATGGGGTGGGAATGGAGATTTTGCAATATCCTTCCCCTGCCACGCCCACCAAACCACACCACGCCCACCAAGCCACGCCCACAGAACTGGTAGTAAAAAAAAAATTGGATTTCACCACTGGGTTATAGGGGTTATAGGGGAGAGTCACCTGGAGCAAGCTGCCATTCCGAACGATCAAAACGTTGTAACTTCAAACCGTCGCTGAATGAGAGATTGTAAATCACAGATTAACAGAGTTGGAAGGGGGTCCTTGTTAGGTCATCTAGTCCAACCCCCATTTGCAGGGCACCGCCTGATATCAAGGTTAACAGCCAGGGGAAGAGTCACCAGGAGCAAAGCTGCTCATTCCCAATGATCCAAACCTAACGCATCCATCAATTCAGCGCAAGAGGATAACCCACCCTCCCTCTTTACTCCCATAGGGATTTAAAAAAAAAAAAAATCAATTTTTTTTCTTTTTTAAATTTTGATTTATATGCCGCCCTTCTCGGGAGACTCAGGGCGGTTTACAATGCGTTAAGCAATAGCCTTCATACTTTTTGTATATTTATACAAAGTCAGCTTATTGCCCCCCACAATCTAGATCCTCAATTTACCCACCTTAGAAAGGATGGAAGGCTGAGTCGACCTTGAGCCTGGGGAGATTCGAACTTACAGTAATTGCAGGCAGCTGGTGTTCATCACAATGCTTTTTAGTCTGCTGAGCCACCAGCAGACCCAATGCAATTTTTGCATTGGGAAGCCACTCGTCATCCCTAATTCCCTTCCCCGCCTACAGCTCCCACCCTGCACCGCTTTCCACGCGCGGCCCCCTTAACCTTTTCGCCGCCTTGCCTGCAGCTCCTTCCGAGCTTTGGGGGGGGGGGAGGCTGGAGCGATGTCAGAGGATCGGCGCACGTGGGAAGGGGCGGAGGAGGGAAGAGGCGGCTCTCTTCTCCCTTGAAAACGCCGGACTTGGGGCTGGGGGTGGGTGGGTAGGTACTCTCTGCCTCCTCGCCAGCTGGCCCATCCCGGAGCCCGGCCTGATCCCTTTCCCCTTTTTCGGAAAGGGAGGGAAAAAGCCTTCTGCCTTTTGCAAAGGAGAGGCATTTTTGCAAATAAATAAATAAATTAAATAAATAAATAAATGAAGACGAGGCTGCCAGGCTGGCATTAAAGCGCGGAGCCGACGAAGCAGCTGGATTTCTTTTTCCTTTTTCCTTTTTTTTTTTTTTTTTTGGTTTTTTTCCTCCACTTCTTCCACCCGGGCCTCGCTTCGAAGCCTGTGTGTGTGCATGCATGCATTGCATTGCATTGCATGCATGCATTGCATTGCATTAAATTGCATTGCATGCATGCATAGCGATCCACGCGTGCTTGGTGGGCAAGCACTTGAACCTTGCTTGGCTTGCCCTCGAAAGGCTGGCTAAGAATGGAGCGATCCTGCAAGCGAAACCCCGGCGGCCAAGGACCCGCGTGAATGAATAATATTCCGGCATGCCTCTTCTTCGCGAGCAGCACCAGCAGCAGCCCACACCCTCCTCTCTGGCTAATCTCCGGGCAGCCTGGCTCTGCCCCAGCGCCACTCGTCGCTTCTCGGGCGCTGGAGGAAAAGCGCAGGAATTCCTGGCCCTGCGCTTCCCCGAGGAGGAGGAGGAGGTGGAGGTGGAGATGGGCACGGAGCTCTTTTCCCCGCGGCGGGCGCCTCCTTGTCGGCTTGCAGGTAGAGAGGAAGGGCGACGGGCTCCCCGCTTCCCCAAACCCCACTTCCACCCGGGGAGCGTTTTCTGGAGCTCCGTCCGCGCCCAGTTGACTTGTTCTTGGGCTGGGTTGACGGGTGGAGAGGTGGCATTCATCCCACCTGCCTGGTTAGGATGCCCGGGGTTGAAAAACCCCCAAGGTGTGATACCTGCCCCGGGTTACCCCGACATCTACTGCTTGCCTGCCTTCCAAAGGCAGCGGGACAGACCGCCGCCAGCCTTATTCTGCCGCCCCCCCCCCCCACACCTCCAGCCACCCCTGGGCAACATCTGGTCAAACGTCGTGGCCTCTTCATTGGTGGGGGGGGCGTCGCTCAGCCTTCCGAGGTCGGTAAAAAAAAAAAACGGGGAGCCAGAATGTGGGGCTGACTTTGTAAACGGCTTAGAGAAGGCGGCTGCGAAGCGGTATATAAGTCGAATTGCTCTTTATTTATGATTTATTAGGCCGATTTATATGCCGCCCTTCTCGGTAAGACTCAGGGCGGCTTACAATGCATTATAGCAATAGCCTGCATACTTTTTATGTATGTATGTATGTATGTATGTATGTATGTATGTATGTATGTATATAAGTCTAATTGCTCTTTATTTATTAGTCCGATTTATATGCTGCCCTTCTCCGTAAGACTCAGGGCGGCTTACAATGCATTATAGCAATAGCCTGCATACTTTTTATGTATGTATGTATGTATGTATGTATGTTTGTTTGTTTGTTTGTTTGTTTATTTATTGAATTTGTATACCGCCCTTCTCCCAAAAGGGACTCACGGCGGTATATACCTGCTTATTAGGGCTTTCGCGCCCCCCCTCCTAAGCGGTGTTGTTCTATACAAAGCTGGCTTATTGCCCCCACAATCCGGGTCCTCAATTTACCAAGCTCGAAAGGATGGAAGGCTGAGTCAACCTTGAGCCTGGTGAGATTTGAACTCGCACTAATTGCAGGCAGCTGGCAGCTAAGTGCTAGCACTTAACAGCACTTAGTCCGCCGCACCACCGAGGCTATTGCTTGCCTGGCTTGGGTTAAGGGCTACGGGGGTGTTTTAGAGCAAGGGTCCCCAACTTTTCGGACCTCAGGGACCACTCAATTCATAATTTTAAATCCCGCGGACCACTAATATGATTTTTTTTTAAAAAAAGATAAATAGTATTTAGTGCAATATATCTTGATTTTGATTTTGATTTGATTTCAAAAAAAAATCAAGAAATAATCCTAAAATATCGTTATATAATGAAAGATATAGAATACCGAAGTAACTTTCTTTTTTTCTTAAGGCTCAAGTTGCAAGACTTGATTTAAATGTATAGTTTGTTTATGTTGTGTATTGCATGTATGTATGTTTTTGTTTATCTACCTCTAATAAACAAAATTTTAAAAAAGTGTTTAGTGCAATATAAAAAAAAATGCAAATAATTTTTCTGCGGACCACCAATTTTTTTTCATGGACCGCCCGTTTGGTGACCACTGTTTTAGAGGGCTGTGGTGGAGCTCTCTGCCAAGCTTTGCCCTTGAGAGATGTAGAGAAGTGAGCGTATGGAAACGCCAAAAATGCCTTATTTGGTTTTTTTTTTTTTTTTTTTTGTTATTTGTTTATTTATTGGAAAAATGTATTGGCCGCTCATCTTATCACAGGATAACTCTGGGTGGCTTAGGATCTTAAAAAAAACCCGATAAAGCAAAACCTAAAAGGCTTTTAAATGAAATCCTGTAAAGATCCCATGACTTAAGTTCCCATTAAAAGATGGGGTGGGGAGGAGGGAGGGAGTGGATGAGCGGGGGGGGGGGGGGAAAGTGGGATCTGTTGTACGGTAAAGGTGGGTAAAACGAGGACCCAGATTGTTGGGGGCAAGAGGCTGACTCTGTAAACCGCTTAGAGAAAGCTGGAAAGCATTGTGAAGCGGTATATAAGTCTTAAGTGCTATTGCTAATCTACCAGCCACACAGGTATTGACTTTTCTAGATTTTGTGATGTGTCCGATTGGGAAGGAACATCCTCACCTCGGCTTGATGGAGGGCTGAAACTTTTCATTTGACTTCCTAACTAGCCTCTCCTTGCCTTTCCCAGTTTTAATTCCTCAATGAAACTGCTCTGGTTGGACGCTTCTGCCTAGAAGAGAAACGGTGGCCAAACCTTGCCAAGGCATGCCAGAGTTATAATTCCACCCGAGGCAGAACAGCCTGCCCCTCGGTACCAGGGCGGGCATCCAGCTGTGTTTCTAAGAACTGACAGCCTGCAATGGCCGGCCCCAGCATCTGGAACAGCCTCAAGTCGGTCCTGAGGAAGAACAATGATTCCTTGTTTCTGAACGACTGCAGTGCCTTTGATTTTTCGGACGAGATTGGGGAGGAAGACTTTCCCCGATTCAAGAAACTTCAAGTGGTGGTTTCGGAGGATGCAGCCGACACTTCTGCCAACGGGGCCTATGTGGGACCTCACTCCGATGATGAGTCCTTGCTGGACAGGGACATAGCGCTGCGAAATGCGGCGGTGGTTGGACCCCCTACGGACCCTTGCAACAATTGTACCCAGCGAAGGGAACTGTCAAAGCAGAAGAAGGTGAAGAGGCGTCTAGCTTTAGCTGCAATTCTGTACCTTCTCTTTATGACCGGCGAGCTTGTAGGTAAGAGTGCCCTGCAGGCACGGGACTGGGGGGGGGGGGGGGGGTGGGGAGTGGAGGGTGAATGGGAGGAGGAGAGGTGATTTCGTAAGGCTGGAGTGCCGTGGAATAGCTGTTTAATTATTTTCTCAGGCAGCAGAATAAGGGCGACTGTGAAACTTGGCAAGCTGGCATTGCAACAGGACAGTAGATTTAGAGAATGTCTTAAGTAAGCAAAAACTGCCCGCAGCAGAAGAGAGGAGCGGCTGTGCCAATTGTTTGATCTGCCATTGTGTGGAATAATTCAGCTGAATAATGTCACTACCCAGTTCATAGATCTATCCGGTATAGTCCAGTACGTAGCTTGGTCTTGACGGTTTCAGAGCTTAGATAGCAATCCTAAAGGTTGTGTTCTTCTTATCTTACGTTAACTCCTGATTGGTTTTTCATTTACTAACTTAACCCCAATCAGGTGGGGTTACACAACAGAGGTTCATAAAAAAAGGGAAAAAAAAAAACCTGCTGAGCCAAGTAAGCCACATTTATGGTTTAATTCAGTACAATAGAAAGGCAGTTGCTAATATTATATATAGTCTTGAGATAACCTAATCCTGGATCTAGGTTTCTCCCGTCCGGCCTTTCAGTAGATGGAATTACAGCCCAAAAGAGGAAGAATCGGTTGGTGCTTTTTCTGATGAGCCCTTTTTAAAAATAAGCCTTAGAAAAACAGAAGCTTGTGCTTTTAATAAAACTTGTTGGTTGAAAAAGACGCTATCAGCTCATACTGATTTTTTCTTTTTTGGCTACCGTAAACGAACAGCTGTTCTCCTAACAAAAGGGATCCAAAAGGGATGGGCGAGACCTGGATAGACCGAATTTGATTTCATTCCATCCATTTTTTTTTTTTTTAAAATAGAAATCATTAATAAATAGACTTTCAGACAGGTATTTCCCTTTGCTATGAAAAATTGCTTCTTGAGGTTGTAGTCTTCGTCAGCTGTATGTCCTTTGACTGTATCCCTCCAGTCAAGAAAGTTGTCCACAGCAACTAAAATAGTGAACTAAAATAGACTTTTAGGCTTCTTTGTATGTTCGGTGCAGTAAAAATGGTTCAGTGCAAGAAATCAAGGATGGATTAACTGGATGGACTTTCTGAGGCCCTGCTGAGAACCATTTCGGAGTGCTCCACAACCTCCACAATGGTGTCTCCCCTTGCTTTTTTCCAGTGGTGAAATCCAATTTTTTTTTTTACTACCGGTTCTGTAGGCGTGGGCTTGGTGGGCGTGGCAGGGGAAGGATACTGCAAAATCTCCATTCCCTCCCCACTCCTGGGGGAAGGATACTGCAAAATTCCCATTCCCTCCCCTCTCCTGGGGGAAAGATATTGCAAAATCTCCATTCCCACCAGTGGTGGGTTGCCCCCAGTTCGGATTGGTAGTAAAACCGGTGGGAGGCTCCACCCACCGACCCCGATGTCATCAGGAAGCTTCTGTGCATGCGAAGTGCACGCACGCGCGGCCCCATTGCAAACTGGTAGTAAAGATAAGTAGAACCCACCCCTGATTCCTACCCCACTCTGGGGCTAGTCAGAGGTGGTATTTGCCGGTTCTCTGAACTGCTCAAAATTTCTGCTACCGGTTCTCCAGAACCTGTCAGAACCTGCTGGATTTCACCCCTGATTCTCCTGCCCCCTCCAAATCCCTGTTTGTTTTCGCTCTCTGCCTCTCCTGAGCTTCTTCTGAAGGTCTGCCACCCACAAGATGGACTCCTGTCCTTCATGGCTCATTGAAGGCAGCCGTGAGGCATCAAACCCGTTATTGACGGTGTGGGGGGGGGACACATTCACAAGCCTCTTTTGAGCTCTTTAAGAGTTGGAGAAGCAAAGAAGTATTGGACAAAAATAAAGATATGGTTGGAAAAGATGATAAAACAACGTATTGAGTTTAAACCAGAAATATTTTTTGTTGGAGATCTTGCCTGAAACAAGATAACAAAGAAAATATATATTTAATTATTCAGCAGCTGGAATTGTATTTGCACACTATTGGAAAAGTGAAGTGATTCCTGAAGAGAAGGTGATTAGGAAAATATTAGAATGTGCAGGAATGAATAGACTAACACTAGCAATTAAGGAGAAAGAACTAACTGATTATTATATGATATGGGAAGTATTTTACCAATGGTTGGAGAATAAAAAAGGAAATTGGAAATAAAGGAAGAAGACAGTAAGAAGAATAGAAAATACATTAAGATAGAGATAAGAATAAAATGGCAATCGATAACATGAGGATGATGAGAATAATCATGGTTTTTTTTTTTTAATTTGATTTATATGCCGCCCTTCTCCGAAGACTCAGGGCGGCTTACAATGTGCTCAGCAATAGCCTTCATCCTTTTGTATATTTATACAAAGTCAGCTTATTGCCCCCACAAACTGGGTCCTCATTTCACCTACCTTAGAAAGGATGGAAGGCTGAGTCAACCTTGAGCCCTGGCGAGATTCGAACCCTGCAGTAATTGCAGGCAGCTGGTCTTAATAAGCTTAATAACAGGGTGCCTTAAACCCCTGTACTACCAAGGCTCATGTTTAATGTTATTATTGTATTTTTATTAGAAGATATGTTATGAAGGAAGTGAAGAGTTACACAAGGTATAATTGTTCAATGTATATAATTTGTGGAAGAACGTGGCACAGAAATAATTGTGCTTAAAGAGAGATGAAATGTTTATATTTTTTTAAAATGGAAAATAAACAAAAATCTTTTAAAAAAAAACAGAGAGAGAGGCAGCAGTGAGGCAGGCCTTTCTACAAACCGAATCTCAGACCTGCCAGATGGTACGAGTTGTTGTTCTCAAAATCTCTACCGCTGCGGATCAGTGTGTTTTTCTCTGTGCCCCAAGAATGCAAAACGCACAGTTACTTCTGCTTCTCCTTTCCCAGTTTCAGGCCTTTAATCACAGAAAGAGGATATGCCTATTCTATTAATCCTACACACCTCATCGTCATTGCATGGCTGGTGTGAGAGGTTGAGCTCGGAGGAAAATAAACCATTAAATTTATCAAAGGTTCGCTCTGTTGCACCCAAGCTTGCTTTGCTTACTTTAGAGCAATTCTTAAAATATTAAAAGCCCTGTCTCCTAACCCCCATGTCTGCCAAGTTGAGGCGGTGTCTTAAAAAGTACTATTTTTTTAAAAAAATATTTTTGTAAGTTGAAACAGAAAAAAAAAAAATGGGCAAAGTTTCTTCTAAATCCTTCCTGCAAATGAAATGAGCCCAGGAATTAAAACCTGTAGCTAGAGCCATTTAATTACAGGGTATAAATCTTCTGGAAATTGCTAGTTTAAAGACCAGTTCTGAATTCTCAAATGTTTAAAGAATTGAGTCCTTTGAGGAACATTGGTGCTTTTTCAGAAATAAGTTATGAAATAAATTGAGTGTATGGTGATGGTTACCTGTGGTGATTTCCTGCTGAGGATATTAAAACGTGGTTATAACAGCCAAAAATATATTTGACTGGAGCTATTGTGATCGTTGTCCCTTCCTCACTCTCCAGTGTTAAAATATAATCTTGTCAGTGTGGCAACGATTTGTTGCACAATAGATGTTTTGGAAGATGTGGAGAGACCTGCCCCATAGAATCGCCAAGAGGTGAACACAACTGAATGGCTAACATCAATTCACCCATTAGATGTTTTGGGAAGCTGTGATTTTTTTTTCTAGTTTAACATTTTATTGAGTTAGAAAACATTGTAAAATACAAAATACAAAAGTAAATAGGAAAGCAGTGGGGAGGAAAAGGGGACGAGAAGGGAGGAAGGATAAGAAAACAGAAAGAAAAAGAAACAATTACTTCCAACTCTCTCTGTTGAGTAAAACAGGGGTCTCCAAACTTGACAACTTTTAAGACTTGTGTGTGAAATCAGTAAAATAGAAAAGAAACTGAAAAGAAAGTAAATATAAATAGAAAATCGGGACTGCTCGGATACCATTTTGGAAAATATTGAATTGAAAATGAATACAACAATGGAGAGAGAATGGAAGGAGGAGTAGAGGGATAGATAGGAGGGGAGAAGAGAGGAAAGAGAGAGAGGAACAGAAGAAAGGGAAAAGGAAAGGAAGAAAGGGAAGGGGAATAAGAGTAGGAGAGAAGGTTAGAAGGGAGGAAGAAGGGAGGAGTGGGGGAAAGGAAGTAGAGAAGGATAAGGAGAGGAGGAAAGAAGAAAGTAGAAGAGGCTAGAAGAAGGGAGGGAAGGGAAAAAGTGGAGAAGGAGAAGAAGGATTGTTGTAAAATAAGTGAGATGGAATGGTAGAAGAGCAGCCCCGAATATACTTAAATTGTTTAACGAACTAATATGAAAGTCAAAAGAGAATATGTATGATCAACAATAGATAAGAGACTGTACATTTAAGACATGTTTATAAGAAATAAAAATAAAAAATTTTCAAAAAAAAAAACCTTTAAGACTTGTGGCCTTCAACTCCCAGAATTCCCCAGCTAGTATGGCTTGCTGGGGATTTCAGGGAGTCGAAATCCAAAAGTCTCAAAAGTTGCCAAGTTTGGAGACCCTTGCAGTAAAATAAGGCATTAACATTAAATCACACCTTTTTTGCTTTTTCATCATAATATGAATCGGCCATTTCGGTAAAGATCTATCCATCTAACTCGGTAAAACCCAAAATCAAATTTTCATTCTTTTCCACTTCAAGCACGGAAGCTGATGCAACTCCTTGATGAATATATGTGGGGTTTTTTGGGAGCGGAGTAATATGTCAATATGTCTAACATTTCTCTCCCCCTTTTAAACTTCTGCATTAAGGTGGATATGTTGCCAACAGCCTAGCTGTGATGACGGATGCACTTCACATGTTGACAGATCTCAGCAGCATTATTTTGACTCTTCTCGCTTTGTGGCTCTCTGGAAAAGCACCCACAAAAAGATTCACCTTTGGATTCCATCGATTAGGTAGGAGGCTTTTTAAATCATTCTGCTACCTCTGCCTGTGCCGGTTGACAGTGAAAGTTTCTTCGGTTTATTTTCTCCCAACTGGGTGTCCTCCATCTGTATCAAGCTGCAATTCCCAATTGCCCTGTGACTGTGCCAGAGCTGACAAAAATTATGATCTTAACAAGATGCCAGGGGTAAGACAGCTGCTTAGCTTGGTAGGAAAGTGGTAGATGGATAGCAATAGCACTTAGACTTGTATACCACTTTACAGTGCTTTACAACCCCTTTCTTAAGCGGTTTACAGAGTCAGCCTCTTGCCCCCAACAATTTGGGTCCTCATTTTACCCACCTCGGAAGGATGGAAGGCTGAGTCAACCTTTGAGCCTGGTGAGATTCGAACTGCCAAATTGCAGGCAGCCGGCAGTCCGCAGAAGTAGCCTGCAGTACTGCACTCTAACCACTGCGCCACCGAAGCTAACAATGTTATATCTCTATAAAAATGGTAATTTGCAAGATCCCTTTTGAGCTGTTGACTTAAGGATTCGGTACAGGCGGAGACAGCTGAGGGAAAAGTCACCATATTCACCCACTCGGATTTCTGTACTTTTATGCCTGTTCCGTGTACTCCCTCGTAACTCTTTAGCATAAGTAAACATCTTGGGTATATCTGTTTGCAGCCCAAAGAGATTTATTGTGACATCAGTTTCTATAGGCAGATCTTTCACCGTGAGATATGATTCAGTGCTAGTAGCTACTACAGTTTGGTATTCGTTTACCCAAGAACCAGCCTTGCGAGAATCAAGAGAAGTGATGTTGAAACGTTGGAGATATGCAGTACATGTAGATCCTCATAATATTTAATGGTGTTTTAGATCCCATGCTGTGGACCATATATATACTTCATTTGAAAATCTCTTTTTTTTCTCTCAGTTCGGAGTATATGGTTTTAGATACAGAGAGTTTCTGCTATTTTATTTTTGATTGGCCTTCCAATTCAGATCCAAATTGCATCTGATTGAAAGGAAAAATAGCCCTATGTTTGAAATGTTGGCTAAGTAATTTGCATTTGCAGTGTGGAATCATATCATAGCAATAGCAACAGCACTTAGTGTGAGGCCTGGAAGCCATCTTGGGCATTGGATCTTCAGGCCTGCCACATTTAGTGCTGTGGGAAACTGGGAGGGGGGATTGTATGGAGCTGGGGAGATATATAGTCAAAATAACATTCCTTTCTCAGAGAGTCAAGGACATCTTGCCCTGCACCTGGAGGGGCGTGGCTAGAAGGCATCTCCAGTTGGGACGGTGCATTGATTGGACCATGTGATGGACATGTGGGTATTGGGCAGGGATTTGGACTTTCCTTTGGGTGGGGAAAACCTGGAAGCTTTCAGATTCGGGTTTTCCCAGATGTGCCAATATAACATCTTTAATAAAATGGAACTTTGAGGAAACTCAAGCCTCGGAATTGTCTTTCATTGGGGGTGTTACTTGGGACCCTGACATTAACCTGAATCTCCTTTAAAAACTTCAACCAGCTCCCTGAACTCTGGGGTGCTGTCCGGGGTCCTGAGCCCTGAATGTTGACCCGATACCAGGCAGCGCGAAGACTCAGGGAAGATGGAGGAAGACAAGGCAGCCATGAAGGGACCCACAGCGGCTGGCTCGGAGATTTACGTTGAGACCATCTACTCCCTTTCCCAAGCCGTGGTGGAAGCGGAGATGGCCGCGGAAGCGGACTGCAACACTTAGACTTATATACCGCTTCACAGTGCTTTTACAGCCCTCTCTTAAGCGGTTTGCAGAGTCAGCATATTGACTGGGTCCTCATTTTACTGACCTCGGAAGGATGAAAGGCTGTGTCAACCTTGAGCTGGTCAGGATCGAACTGCTAAGCAGTAAGCAGAGTTAGCTTGCAATACTGCATTCTAACCACTGCGCCATCAGGGCTCTTGTCATCATCCCTGTCTTGACAAAAGTTCTCCTGCCTCTGATCTAGCCCAAAACTAGACATCTTTTGATAAGTTCGATGTGATTGGACTAGTCACTCTTCTCCTAACACCGTGCATCTGAGATACATGTGAGGCAATTGGGGGCAGAGATAGAGAAGGCTCAATCAAAATGGTGGTGAATAAAGGGACTGTTGGAATTGCACGTTCCTATCTGTTCTTCCTGCCCCAGAGGATGAATGAACGAATGGAAAGTTCTTCGATTACAGTTCGCCTGTGAAAACCTCATCAGTCTTCACAAGAAGTTTCTAAAAATATAGTTATATTAGCTCTCAGAAGGAGAAGTCGTGACGCCAGAGAGAAAGAAGAGAAATATTTTTTTTCAATTAGATGTGCTGATTCAATTTTTCCCCTTCGTGCCTCTGCTCACGTGATTCAATCCACTGTTTATATGATTCTGTTTTCTAAAGCTGTAATTAGATTTTTCAGCATCCCTTCCACCCCACACCCCGCCCCGTTCTTTAATGTCCTATAGGAGCTGTATCAGTGGTGAAATCTAAAATTTGTTACTAGTGGTTCTGTGGGCGTGGCTTGGTGGGGGAGGGGTAATGTGACTGGGTGGGCGTGGCCGATTTTTAAAAAAACTTTTAAAAGCATTTTTTCTACAACCTCTTTGGCGAAGAGGTTGTAAAAAAATGCTTTCAAAAGGCTCTGACGATCCCAGCTGAGTTGCCTGATTGGCAGAGGCTTTTTTTCTTTTAAATGCCTCTGACGATCAGGCAACTCAGCTGGGATCGTCAGAGGCTTTTAAAAGAAAAAAATGCCTCTGCCGATCAGGCAACTCAGCTTGGATCGTCAGAGGCATTTGAAAGCATTTTTTCTACAACCTCTGAAGGCTTTTAAAAGCCTTTGACGATCCCAGCTGAGCCACATGATCATCAGAGGCTTTTTTTTTTACTTTTTAAAACATTTTTTCGGCCGAAGAGGTTGTAGAAAAAATGCTTTAAAATTTTTTTTTAAAAAGCCTCTGATGATTGTGCGGCTCAGCTGGGCATGGGTGGTGGTGGTGGGATTTTTGCTACCGGTTCTCCGAACCACCCGCCTCCATCGCTACCGGATCAGGCGATCCGGTCTGAACCAGGAGCATTTCACCCCTGAGCTATATAGTAAAAGTCAAGCTCTGGTGTGTGAATTCACATGCCTTTGAAAATTGCTTTTAGCTCCAGTGGCTTGTGTTTCAGTCATAAGGATATTCATTGAAGAAAATTAAGAACTCTTGAAAGAAAAGTTCCCCAGCTGCCAAACTGCTGTGCTGTTTGAGATCCGGGATGACTTGCCCTTTTACAGTAAAGTACAGTATGGCTTTAATACGTGAATTGATGGGGATGTTATCCTAGTGGAGGAAAATCCCTCCACCGTAGAGTTGAAAACTTGGCAGACCGAAGTTTTGTGAAATACAACTCTCCTAAAAACAGACGTTGGACCTGTTCTCTTAACCTTCGTTTCGATGCTTTTACTCGCTATGAAAATTGAAATTATGCTGTTGTTTTTTTACAGAGTTCTTTGGGGTCCGTAGCTGGGGCAGAACAGTAGGATGTACTTGGACTTCCTTATTCAATTGTTGGTCTTTTGCTTCTTCTCTCCCAGAGGTTTTGTCCGCCATCTTCAGTGTACTCTTGATTTACATCCTGATGGTTTTCCTCTTATACGAGGCTGTTCAGCGAACGATCCACATGGACTATGAGATTAATGGAGATGTAATGCTTATCACTGCAGCTGTGGGAGTCGCAGTAAACCTCATGTAAGTTACTGGGTTTTTTTCCCCCTTCTATTTAAGATTGATGGTCTATTGATCTCGATCTGGCCGGTAAACGCTCAGCTCCATCCAGTTCTACCCTGAATCTACCCTGAATTAAGGGATTACGGGATTGTTTTTAACAAAGGGAAGTCTATTGATTGTGATGGCATCTCGTAGCCATAGGGCTGATTAGGGTTTCGTATCCTAAATTCTGATTACAGATGAACAGAGTTGGAAGGGATCTCGTAAGTCATCTAGTCCAATCCCTTGCCCAAGCAGGAGAGCCTACACCAGTGATGGCTAACCTTTTCCAGACCGAGTGTCCAAAGCACCTGCATGTGCCCGAACCCCCCAAATGCAATGCATATGCAGGCCCCCTGCATGTGCCCCACCCCCACACATGCACATACCCCCCACACGTGTACATGGGGCCCCTGCACATGCCCCCACATGCATGGCAGAGACCCGAAGACCAGCTGGCTGGTGGGAGGCACACACGCATGCGCGGTGGAGCTCAACTGGAGTGACGGCTCGCGTGCCATCAGAGAAGGCGCTGAGTGCCACTTTTGGCGCGCGTGGCATAGGTTCGCCATCATGGCCCTACACTATTTCTGACAAATGGCAGTCCAGTCTCTTCTTGAAAGCTTCCAGTAATGAAGCTCTCACAACTTCCGAAGGCAACTTCTGTTCCATTGGTTGATTGTTCTCACTGTCAGAAAGTTCCTCCTCATTTCTAGGTTGAATCTCTCCTTGTTCAGTTTCCATCCATTGTTCCTTGTCTGGCCTTCAGGCGCTTTGGAAAACAGCTTGACCCCCTTCCTCCTCTCTGTGGCAGCCCCTCAAATATTGGAAGGCTGCTATCCTGTCTCCCCTGGTCTTTCTCTTCATTAGGGTTAGGGTTAGGATGTCCTGAAGGACTTGTCATTAATTGCTTGGTTACTGCTCTGCCATAGTAGCATAGCAGAGGTGGAAGCAGTGAGGTGGAAAAACAATAGAGCCATGTTGCAAAGCAACAGAGTTGCTTCAGAGTTTTTACTTAAGAGTTGGGTTTTTTTCTGGAAGGCTGACATCAGGGTTCCAAGTAACACCCACAAACGAAAGAAGACTCCGAGGCTAGAAGTTTCTCAAAGTTCCATTTTATTAGAGATGTCATTTAGGCACATCTGGGAAAACCCGAATCTGAAAGCTTCCGGGTTTTCCCCACCCACAGGAAAGTCAAAGTCCCTTCCCCCTGCACCGACATGTCCATCACATGGTCCAATCAATGCACCGTCTCAACTGGAGATGCCTCCCAGTCACGCCACTCCAGGTGTAGGGCAGAGTTGCCTTGACTCTCGGAGAAAGGAATGTTATTTTGACTATATATCTCCCCAGTTCCATACAATTCCCCCCCTCCCAGTTTCCCACAACACTAAGTGTGGCAGCCCTGAAGATCCAAAGAAAAAGGTAGCCTCCAGGGCTGACAGGCCGACCTCCCTCAACTGATGATCGTGTCCTGCAACAAGAGGAACATAGGGGGTTAATTCGATATTCCCTAACCATCTAACCACAGCTGTCCAATTTTGGCAATGCTGGCTTGGGAATTCTGGGTGTTGAAGTCCACAGGTCGTCAAAGGGCTTTAGTTGCCCACCCTTTCTATTGACCCTAAAATGCTTCTCAGTCACAAAGCGAACTGCGAGTAGCTATAGACAAACCTAGATTAGCCTAGGCTGAATTTGTACCAGCCATAGGTTAATTGTGTGATGATGATGATGATGATGATGATGATGATGATGATGATGATAATGATGATGATGATGATGGCTTGAGAGTTCAGTGCCAACACACCTGTGATTTCTTCCTCTCTCAAGAAAAGCAGAAAGAAAGGATTTGGGGGAGCAGAAGTTTTTACCCAATGAGAGGACAAAGTTTTTGTTTTTTCTTGCTGCTTGGTTTAGATCAAAGCATACTTGAATAATGGGGCATAAGGAAGATGAGGGGATTTCTGCCCCTCTATTCTTCTTGGCAAGCAGAGAGCTGGAGTGATTTTTCTCCTTGAAGATGGGCAGGAGGCCAGGCCCAGCGGATTAGCAGGAAGAGTGAAATACAATAGCGCAAAAGTAACTCTGGAGAAACGATGTTCAGATAGATAGGTTGTCTGGCCAAGCAGCTGATCTGTAAGCGTATATACATTTACAGTGGCTTTGAAGAACAACCTTAGAAAGCACTGCTGGCTCCCATTAGTTCCCGCGAACAAGTAACTGATTATTTTTCAGACTTCTGGGCTGGAAACTAGGATCCCTTTGGAACACTATATGAGTTTTCTTTTGCTTTTGATCTCAGCAGATCAAGATGCTCCAAGCACTGAATTTCTAGTCATATATGCAGGCCTGATATACATTTGCAGGGTACCCTGTTTATTAAAGTAAAGGTAAAGGTTCCCCTCGCGCATATGTGCTAGTCGTTCCCGACTCTAGGGGGCAATGCTCATCTCTGTTTCAAAGCTGAAGAGCCAGCACTGTCCGAAGACGTCTCCGTGGTCATGTGGCCGGCATGACTAAACGCCAAAGGTGCACGGAACACTATTACCTTCCCACCAAAGGTGGTCCCTATTTTTCTACTTGCATTTTTTACATGCTTTTGAACTGCTAGGTTGGCAGAAGCTGGGACAAGTAACGGGAGCTCACCCCGTTACGCGGCACTAGGGATTCGAACCGCTGAACTGCCGACTTTTCGATCGACAAGCTGAGCGTCTTAGCCACTAAGCCACCGCGTCCTTATAGGGGCAACAAATAAGAGCCTTATAGGGGCACAAATCTCACAGCTGTCAACAAATCCAGCGTGACTCTCCTGGGGTTCAAGGACCCACTGTAGAAAGAATGGTGCTGTGTTTGTGCCTCTGCGGTTTAGAAGGTGGAGTTGTTGACCGGAAGGTTGGCAGTTCAACACCCAACACCGCATGTCAGGGTGAGCTCCCCTTCCAGCCCCAACTCCTGTCAACCTAGCAGTTCGAAAGCATGCAAATGTGAGTAGATAAATAGGTACCACTTCGGTGGGCAAGTAATAGTGTTCCGTGCAACGTTCGTATATAGCCATGCTGGCCACATGACCACAGAAGCATCTTCGGACAACGCTGGCTCCCTCGGCTAACAAACGGAAATGAACAGCACCCTCTAGAGTCAGATCCGACTGAATAGTTACCTTATGTACCGGATAGATACCTTTTACGTATCAAAATACCCCTTTGGCTTTGATTGTGATGCTGTCAGAGTGTTTACAACATGACTACTATTTTGTGACCACCCAGGAACAAAATACAGGACACAGAGGTTTGTCTTACAAACAGTGGTTTTTATACAAGACTTCTATATACAGATATATAAGTGGTAGGCACATACCAGGCAAGCAATAATTCTTCAACTCTACACAAAGAACTACGGTGCAGATACACGAGGAGAGAGAGAGAGAGAGAGAGAGAGAGACGCCCTCTCATGGCCTCCCTTATATAGACAGCTTGTTAAAGGGCAATAACTCTGCTGACTCATTCTCAGTCTTAAAGGGGCTGGTCAGCTTTAAATCTTCATTACCCTGACAGATGCGCTGCATAGCCTTACTAAAAAAAAAAATTCTATAACCGATTTTGTTTTCCCCCATTGGCCTTTCCAAAGTAAAGTGGCCCTTTCTCTGTCTAAAGGACCTTTCTTCTCCTCTCTTTTTCATTTCAGAATGGGATTTCTGCTGAGCCAGTCTGGTCACCTCCACTCCCATTCGCACGCACCTTCATCAGTTCCTCCATCCGGCTCTTCCGTTACAGCCCCTGGGCACTCTCACAGCCATGGCAGCTTAGCCGTGAGAGCTGCCTTCATCCACGCCCTGGGAGACTTGGTCCAAAGTATTGGCGTGCTTGTTGCTGCGTACATCATTCGATTTAAGGTGGGCAGGGTTTCTTCGCTAGACTTGTGGGGCCTCTCTTAACTGGGGTTGTTTGGCCTTGGGATGTTGTAATGGGTTTATTCCAGGGGTGAAATCCAGCAGGTTCTGACAGGTTCTGGAGAACCGGTAGCGGAAATTTTGAGTAGTTCGGAGAACCGGCAAATACTACCTCTGCAGTGGTGAAATCCAAATTTTTCTACTACCGGTTCTGTGAGCGTGGCTTGGTGGGCGTGGCAGGCGAAGGATACTGCAAAATCTCCATTCCCACCCCACTCCTGGGGGAAGATATTGCAAAATCTCCATCCCCACCCCACTCTGGGGCCAGCCAGAGGTGGTATTTGCCGGTTCTCCAAACTGTTCAAAATTTCCGCTTCCGGTTCTCCAGAACCTGTCAGAACCTGCTGGATTTCACTCCTGCACCTCTGGCTGGCCCCAGAGTGGGGTGGAAATGGAGATTTTGCAGTATCCTTCCCCCAGGAGTGGGGAGGGCATGGGGATTTTGCAGTATCCTTCCCCCAGGAGTTGGGGTGGGAGGGGATTTTGCAGTATCCTTCCCCCAGGAGTGAGGAGGGAGTGGGGATTTTGTAGTATCCTTCCCCCAGGAGTTGGGGGAGAGGGGATTTTGCAGTATCCTTCCCCCAGGAGTTGGGGTGGGAGGGGATTTTGCAGTATCCTTCCCCCAGGAGTGAGGAGGGAGTGGGGATTTTGTAGTATCCTTCCCCCAGGAGTTGGGGGAGAGGGGATTTTGCAGTATCCTTCCCCCAGGAGTGGGGTGGGAATAGAGATTTTTGTCAGAGTGCGCACAGTGTGACTGCTAGTTTGAGACAACCCAGGAGCAAAATACAGTACACAGAGGTTTTTCAAACAGTGGTTTATCTACAAGTTATCTACAGTATATATACATACACGTGCTAACCAAAGCCAGGCAATCAATCAGTCGATCGTCCACTATAACAGGAAGCACACCTGGAGAGAAATACACAGAGAACTACAGTGCAGATACACGCAACGAGGAGAGTGATACACAGGGAGAGAGAGAGATGCCCCCTAATGGCCTCCCTTATATAGGCAGCTTCTTAAAGGGCAATAACCCTGCTGACTCATCCTCAGTCTTAAAGGGGCTGGTCAGCTTTAAATCATCATTACCCTGACAATTCTGCAGTATCCTTCCCCTGCCACGCCCACCAAGCCCCACCATGCCCATCAAGCCACGTTCACAGAACCGGTAGTAAAAAAAATTGAATTCCACCACGGGTTTATTATTCATGTAAAGATGTCCTACCCATAGAGAAGAATGTAGCTCGGAGTTGAAATGAGGGGTCCTTAGTGCTGTCTGAGCTTGGTTGTTTTTTTTTTCCAGATGTTTCATTGCCATGCTAGATAACATCATCAGGTCTAATAGGCAGGGGCCACGACTAGAATACAAAATGAGAGCAAACCCCACTCCCTACTAGCCCTGGTGATATTATCTACTTCGGCAACAGAACGTCTGCAAGAAAACAACCCAGGACTCCACCTCTTACCCAGAACTTCCATTTCCCCCACCCCACTCCAAAGGTTTTGGCCTATTTTAAAAGAAATTGCACTTTAAAAAAAAAATTCTGTTGGTACTTTTTAACACTTTGCAAACCCTACTCAAACTTTACACAAAGGTTGTGTGCAGCTATTTGAATTAACAGATTATTTTCTGAATCACCTGTAGTGGTAGTGATGGTGGGATGCGGGAGCATGTGAAAAAAAAAAAAGCGCCATACAGAGTTACCCTGTGGTTAGATGGGCAGCCAATAAAATTTTAAAATCAATCCATACAGGGCGTGGAGTTGTGCCCTTGGGCCATTTTACACCATCTATACTGAGCTTTCAAGGACTAAGGAAAACTCTTCGAAAGGCCTCCTTGTAGATAGTACTTGGTGTACAGATGTTGGGATTGAAACCTGGGTGTTACTGTGTAGTAAGACCGTACTGTGCTACTCGGCCCATTTGTAAAAACATTGAGTACAGTACAAAGGTTAACTGTATTTCAAACTGCCTATCAGTCCAAGCTCTGCAGTCAAGGACAATTAATTAAGGTAGTTAAATAAATCAGTATTTTTTTGTTTAACTGAAAAGTTCAATCCTCCTCTGTGGCTGATTCCTGTTCCCCCACAAAGGCATTTAATATCCTGCATACAAAACAGCCTTTGTTCTACAGTTGCATGTTCCTTTTCTTATCGGTCGTGGTCCAAATTATAGTTGCAATGAAGTTGCGTTAAAGAATATTATTCATGGGAAAGTTTGGGAAGACTTGGTTGTGTTGTACAATTGTAAACAAATGGAGTTGGCCGGCATCTTCTTAACAAGGAAAGTGTTAGTTATCTGTGGGAAAAAGGACATACAGATTAGCCCTCTTGCACAAAACTGGCACTTGTAAGTATAGCTCGGAAGTCAGCAACCCACAGCTCTGGAGCTGCATGTGGCTCCTTCATCCCTCTGCTGCGGCTCCTTGTCGCTCAAAATATGTGTCACAACCACCGATGTGTGACACCTGCCGGCGTGCAATTTATTGAGCTTTTCGACCTCCAGTAGGCCAACAATGGATAAATAAGTTTTTTTTCATACATAACATAAAGGTAAAAAACGATATATGCAATGCTATCTTCATTTTGTGGCTCCCGGTGTTTTCTTGTCTGTGGGAAACAGGTCCAAATGGCTCTTTGAGTGTTTTAAGGTTGCTGACCCCGGTATAGTTTATTGACAGAAGCGATGCTGTGCATATTATATATTGTATATTCCAGGGGTGAAATGCTACCGGTTCACCCCGGTTCGGGCAAACCGGTAGTTGGTTCATTCGAACTGGTATTTCCGACGAACAGCTGTGCCGCGTGGTTTATATTTATATTATAAATCACGCGGAACAGCTTTTCCCCCCTCATGCTGTTCTACTTACCTAGTGAAGCCTTATTTTTCCACGCGAAGCACACGTTCGGTGCGTGCACAGCATGCTTTTGGTGTGTGCTTTGCATGTGTGCGCACAGCACGCATTTGGCACACAGCACGTATGCGCAGCCAGCGAACCGGTAGCAAACCGGTTCAGATTTTACCACTGGTATATTCCCCAAATATTGTATATTCCCCAAATTTACCCCCGAAATAACTGGGGGTGTTTCAACTGTTGTAAAAAACAACAACAGAGACACTCGATTTAGTGAAAACTTGAATGGACGGGGTAGGGAACGAATAACTACGGCAGTCGTATTGATTTGACACCCGATTCTTACATCCATCCTTAAAATATTGACTGATGGAATTCTTCCCACACCTCCATTTCTAAGCCTTCAAAACAGGGGTGAAATGCTCCCGGTTCGGACTGGATCGCCTGATCCGGTAGCGATGGAGGTGGGTGGTTCGGAGAACCGGTAGCAAAAATCCCAGCCCCCCCCCCCCATGCCCAGCTGAGTCGTGCAATCATCAGAGGCTTTTTTTTATTATTTTTAAAAGCATTTTTTCTACAACCTCTTCGGCCAAAAAAATGCTTTTAAAAGTAAAAAAAAAAGCCTCTGATGATTGTGTGGCTCAGCTGGGCTCGTCAAAGGCTTTTAAAAGCATTTTTTCTACAACCTCTTCAGCCGAAAAAATGCTTTTAAAAGTAAAAAAAAAAGCCTCTGATGATCGTGCGGCTCAGCTGGGCTCGTCAAATGCTTTTAAAAGCCTCTGACGATCCAAGCTGAGTTGCCTGATCGGCAGAGGCTTTTAAAAGAAAAAAAGCCTCTGCCAATCAGGCAACTCAGCTGGGATCGTCAGAGCCTTTTGAAAGCATTCGCCGAAGAGGTTGTAGAAAAAAATGGTTTTAAAAGTAAAAAAAAAATAAAAATGGCCACGCCCACATTATCCCACCACCACCAATCCACGCCCACAGAACTGGTAGTAACAAATTTTAGATTTCACCACTGCTTCAAAATATTTATAGCCAGGGACTTTAGTTACAAGGCTTTTTAATCTTTTTCGTTTCAGCCAGAATACAAGATTGCTGATCCTATATGTACCTACGTATTTTCAGTTCTTGTGGCTTTTACAACCTTTCGGATCATACGGGACACCGGAATAATTGTACTTGAAGGTAAGAGATGTTTAAAACGGCCGACGACTGGGAAGAGTTAGAATTGAGAGGGCTTTTAAAAAATGATACACGCACACTCTTAATAATTTTCATCATTAACTTTTGATGGGTTAGAAGGACACTTGCTACCAACTGGGTATAGGGAATCCTCAATTGATGAACCACAGTTGAGTTCCAAATTTCTGTCGCTAAGCGAGACACTTGCTAAGTAAGCTTTGCCCTATTTTACGACCTTTCTTGCCACAGTCTGTGAGATCTTGATACTCTGCATCTGAAACTGTGATCATGGCTGGCTCTCAACCTAACTTTATTCGGCATCAGCAGTTTCCAGAACAAGCCTTGATGATGATGTCAGAATAACAGTGCACATTTTATGATATCATCATGCGAATGACTTGATTAGACAGTTGCGTTCTGACATTTGATACAAATATTTTAGTTTAGAATCAGAATTGGAATCGAGCTGGAAGGGATCTTGGAGGACTTCTAGTTCAGCCCCCCCTACCCAAGCAGGAAACCCTGTATCCGTGATGGCGAAACTATGGCACATGTGCCACAGATGGCACGCAGAGCCTTATCTGTAGGCACGTGAGCGTTGCCCTAGCTCAGCTCCAGCGCGCATGCATGTTCCGGCCAGCTGATTTTCGGGCCTTGCAGGCCCACCGGAAGTCAGGAAACGGGCCGTTTCTGGCCTCCGGGGGTTCGTGGGGAAGGCTGTTTTTGCCCTCCCCAGGCTCCAAGAAAGCCTCTGGAGCCTGGGGAGGGTGAAAAAACGGACCTACTGAGCCCACCATGCCATCATGTGCCAAAAGCGGGGAGAGCATGGGGGGGAGGGTTGCATGTGCATGACACACACCCCCGGCGCGGTCCTGCCCCCTTTTGACACACGACGGCAAAAAGTTTAGCCATCACTGCCCTATATCATTTCAGTCTTTTCTTAAAAACCTCCAGTGATGAAGCACCTACAACTTTTGAAGGGAAGCTGTTCCACTGGCTAATTGATCTCACTGTTAGGAAGTTGTTTCTTGTCCTGCCCTCTGGTACAGTTGTTGTTTTTTTTATGTTGGACTATCAACATAGGAAAGATATTTCGATTTGTTTCATATAACATATGAAACTGGCAGTCCTTGGTGTACGATTACAATTGAGACCGTGATTTCCATTATTAAGCAAGGCTGAAACGAGTCTTTACTCCAAAACTTCGCTGTTTTGAGCAAATACTCAAAAACCACTATTGTTTTATGTTTTTATCGTTTTACAGATTGTTCATGCATGGCATATATTTTTCAATCTAAACAGAAAAAAAAAATCTGTTCCTGGTTCTTTGTTTTGTTTGTAGGAGTTCCAAGACATTTAAATGTGGACCTTATTAAAGAAGAGTTGATGAAAATCGAAGACGTATTTTCAGTGGAAAACCTGTATGTCTGGTCTCTAACGTCAGGAAAAACAATTGCCATTGTCCACCTACAATTAGGTAAAATATGTTGATCCGTTGCTTCTAAAATACTTGCTTCAGGTGGTACCTAGTTATCAGATCTTATCTGTAAAGTAAAATAAGGGATATAAAGGCTTTAATCAAAAGCTCGCGATCAAAAATCACAAAACAGGCAAGGAATGGGAAGAAATAAATAAATTGATCATCCCAGGTCAAAAATTAATTTTTAAAGAAACATTTAGATTGAATTGTAGTTTTTTTTGGGGGGGGCTGGGGTTTTGAGATGTAGATTTAGCAATTCATGGGTCAGAGTGACACTCATGGAGAAGATGATGTTTGCTTGTGTAGGAGGTTGTCCTGTCGATCGATCATTGATTGACAGTGATTGGGCTCTGCAGTTCTCGCTCGCTTGATGGAACTGACAGGTTGAAACGAAATCCTCTTCTGGTAAGAAAACAGAGCTAAAAGGAGCTTCCTTGTGAACGATCCTTCAATTTTTGGCTTTGTGAAACTTCTTCAAGCTACCAGTTGCTACTAAATCACAACCAGCCCCATAGAGAATGCATCTATGGGAGAAATGTTTCAAGAATATTTCCATTTTTTCCCCCATCGTTGCTCAAGAGAGCAATTGGAGAGTAATTCTGAACTTGCAAAGCTCTTCAACTGGTTCATTAAATAGAGGAAATTTCAAGGTAGAAACTCTAAAATCAACTGCTGAGACAATCCTAGTGGACAAATCAATAAGCCGTTGGAAACTTGCTTGTGTAGTCCCAACAGATCAGCCCAGCCGGGGACTCCTCAGCTTTGCTTATAACAACAATCAATTCCCATTTAAGCTGCTTCCCCTAGTCTCTTTGTCAAGATAATGGCAGAGCTATTACGGCATATGAGGCATGCATACATACATACCGTATTTATCGGAGTATAAGACGCTCCGGACTATAAGACGCACCTACCTTTTTTGGTGAGGAAAACAAGAAAAAGAAATCTGCCTCTGCCTTTGCCTCCCAGCAATTTACTTTCATTTTCGTTTTCAGCATAGCTCGATTAGCACAAGAAAAAAAAAATCTGCTCCCAGCAGTTTGCCTCCTTGCAGCAAGCAGCAGAGGCCCCGCGCAGCAATAGGCAATGGCAATCCCTGCAGCCTGAAATAGCTGAGAGTCGGGAAGGCTAATGCAACAAGGACAATCAACTTGTGCTGATTAGGCTGTGCTGAAGCTGAAATGGTCTGTTTCTTCTTCCTGCTTGCTACAAGGAGATAAATTGCTGGGAGGCAGAGGCCAAAGGGTGGGGGCCAGTGGGTGGGCAGGGCTACATTCGGTGTATAAGACGCACCCAAATTCGGGTCTTCTCCCATGTAAAATTGGAAGTGTCTTGGTGACGTTTCGACGAAGTCTCATTCGTCATCTTCAGGCTGGTGTTCTCGGCTTCGTGCTTCCAGGAGCAATGCTTCGTCGAAACGTCGCCAAGACACTTCCAATTTTACGTGGGAGAAGACCCGAATAACCAAAGACCTACACACACACACACACACACACACACACATATATATCAATTTTCTTACTTCTTCGTAGGGTTTATGTGTGTTTTTCTTCTAGCCAGGTTTTCCCTTCCCCTTGTAGCTGGAGCTACAAAAAACCTTGATTATGTAGGCAAAACCTGGCTAGAAGAAATATATATATATATATATATATATATATATATATATATATATATATATATATATATATATATATATATAATGTTTTCTGAGGTTTTCGCGGGTGTTTGTATGTAGGTCTTTGGTTATTCAGGTTTTCTCCCACGTAGAAATGCGGGAGAAAACCGAATAACCAAAGACCTACATATATATATACCTAAATGATCTACTAATTAGATCTCCAACTAGGATCAGGACTGCATCCAGATCATAACTCACAATACATTGCTTGTAGGGCTGGGAGTTTCTGGTTTACTGCCTTCAACAGATGCATTATTTGGGGGTCCTGATCAGCTTGGAGAAGAAGTCATTCTTCTTGGTCATCCTTGGGGAAGGAGATGATGTGACATTCAAATAGTCCTCGCATCGGTGCTTAAAGTCAAAATCTAGCTTTTTAAAAATAAATATGGTGGTTCATCGGGAGAGCTGCCTTCCATAGAGGCGTCGCAAGAAATTGACGAACAGTTGTCGTTATTTTGTTTTGTGGCTTTCTTGTCTTTCAGTTCCTGGCAGCTCACCCAAGTGGGAGGAGGTCCAATCCAAGGCCAGACAATTGCTGATGACTACCTTTGGCGTCTATCAGTGCTCCATCCAGCTCCAAAGCTACAGGCGTGAGGCGAACAAGCCCTGTGCGAATTGTCAGAGTGCCTAATTTTTTTCCAACCTTCGGGAAGACTTCGCTGCCTTATCCTTTTTAATCTTGCAGCCAAAGGGCCACAAAGCAATAAGCGTTAAGATAGAAGCAGAACGGAGTGATTTGACCTCCGACCTGTAACATCTGCATTAAGTGCAGTATCGGCGCGTTGGAGCTGTCGGGGGTCAGCTTCGCCACGGCTCTTTTCACGAAGACAAACTTCTGATTCTTTCTATCACCGTTCATTTCTGCTCGGGTTTTTCTCGCCGATATATTTCCAAGAAGTTGTTTACACGTCCCTCGATGGTTGGGCAGGTTCCTCGCTGAGCGCAGCTTCCACATTGCCGTTTTCTTAACTGTCCTGACTTGACTCTCTGGAGGAGCATCAGGAAATTTATCTACTTGAGTTTTCAACAGAATTTAAAAAGAAAAAAAGAAAAAAAAAACCACAATCATGTTCAAAATTTGTAAAGTTAATGACCCCTGAATTGGTTACCTTAAGTATTTCCTCCTCCCGTTCCCCTTTTCCAGGTTTTTAATTCCTTATCTTAAAAAAAAAAAAATGCTGCAGGGATAACAGAACTTTTTTTAAAAAAATAAGTTGTCTCTTAATACAAACTTGAATTAGTATTGGCTTTTACGTGTAACCAGTTTTTGGACATTTAGCTTTAAGTAGTACTTTCCGTGGTAGGAGGATTTTATCCAGGATGAATCACCACTTGTTTAACTGAAGACTTTGGGGCAGGACCCACTTGTGTTTGAAAAAAAAAAAAAAATTGATCGACTTTCATATGCTTTGATATAGGTCCTGTATTGTAGAAGTGTATTATTTAATTTCTTCGAGTCTGAGGTGACTGATTTTGAAAGCTTTCCTACCGGTCGTCCTGAGTATCTCAAGTAACGTGTCGCCTGCTTCAACAGGCTATTTGATTAACCTGAATCTTAATTCTACTAAATAAATGTGTTGTAGAAACTTCTTTTGTGATTGATTTGCTTTGCTTGAAAGAGAGAGGGCTTTTAGAAAATTCCGGAAAACCGAAAATCAAATCAATACCGTGTTTCCCCAAAAATAAGACATCCCCTGATAATAAACCCAATCGGGCTTTTGAGCGCATGCGCTAAAATAAGCCCTCCCCAAAAATAAGCTCTCCCTGAAAATAAGCCCTCTCTGAAAATATTTAATCGCATGCACAGCTGGTCCCCGCCATTCCCTCTGGTTAGGGTTAGGGAGACAGCTGGAAATCAGGTAAGATGGCAAGAGGAGCCCTGTCTTGTTCCACGCACCCCAAAATAATAAGACCTCCCTGAAAATAAGGCCAATTTTGGCCTTATTTTGGGGTTCAAAAAAATATAACACAGGGTCTTATTTTCGGAGAAACATGGTAGATATAAGGGTAAATATTGATGAGAAAAAGAAAATTATTTGCAATTGGCGGGGATCTGATTTCGGTTTCATCTTGATGTATCTTTCTGATAAACGTATGGCTTTTTCACAATGTCCCCATTTGTGCTTATAAAAGATACAATCCAACGGGGGAATTTTGTTGTTGGTATAAAACCAGCCTTTGTCATCTCTGCTGCATCATTGGTACAAAACTTGTGGATGAGATGTTCTGAATCATGAGCATGAAGAAAGGAAAACTAGAATTAAGGAGAAGCTAACAATACGTGAGATCTTATGGTCAGTTCCTAGACATATAAAACTTGGATTAAGTGTAGGACAGAGATAGTCAACTTTGTTTCCCTTGTGTCTGAACACCTCATAATTTTTTTTGCAAGATCCAATCTGGTTCGGTCACTGAGACCAGTGGTTTAGTCTTCTGAGCTTTCGGACTCTTGCTGGAGCCCATCTTCAATTTGGTGAGAGAGAAGTGCCTTGAGGATGGGCTCCAGCACAAGTCCAAAAGTTCAGAAGACAAAAGCTCTGGTCCCTGTGACCGACCCAGATTGGATCCTGTAATATTAACCTGGAACCTGTATGTTTCCCTTCATTCATAAATTTCTTGTCGATGGCAGTTGGGACTGCTAGAATATGAAATTGAAAACATCTGGAAGGCACCTATCTTTGATGTGGGTAAATGTCATCACAAAAGATATTAAAAAGATAGATTTATGTCACAATTTCTTTGCCTTTGTATCTCTATTTCTTCTAAAGAACTAGAAACTAAATTTAATATTTTGATGTTGCATAGCAAAGTCTGTGGTTGAGATGGGATATTTTGGATTTTGGCTTTGAAATCTGAGGCAACCAGCCATAAAAATATGCATTTTTTAAATAGTTTGCTGGAAATGAAAAATTGAAAAAGAGGGTCTCAGTTTGCGCGTGATTGAAATAAGAATTCCGCCAGCAAATTTGAATGGATGAATTGAAATGTGGCATATCAATTGTGTAAAATCAATTGTTAAGCGACCTAGTAATTTTTAGGAACAATGTTTATCTTCTGATGAACAAAGTTCCTTTTTAGTGAAAATTATCAAATTCTTAAAATTTGATAATTTTTCTAGAATATATAACTCTGGAGAATAAGTCATATGTTTCAGGCAAAGAGTATAATCATTTTAAGAGCATCTGGCTGATGAATTACCTACATGAAGTTGGTGTTGTACCTTGATTGAACTATCTTAAAAGTTCTTTTTTTTTTTTTTTTGGCTTTCTGACGTTGCATGAAATTGGAACTTACAATATGTCTACCCACCCCAAGACAAACTCTGTGTGTATGAAAATTACGCATCTATGCATAAATCATACATACATACATATGTGCAAAAACAAAAAGATCCTGGAGTAGCAAATGTACGTCTAACCCAGAAACCAATGGTAGAAACCTGGGTTGCTACATTGTGATGTAACACAAAGCCATATCAAACTTCCCTTTTAAACTAGTATATCTGTCTATAAAACCTTTCTGAAAGTCAGATCTTTCTACACACCCAAAGTATTTATAGTGGCATATTTCCATTAAGCTTTGGTTTACAGTGCCAATTTGTTAGAAACGGGGTTTTTGTTAGAGCTGTATTGTAATTTAGAGTTTTTATACAAAAAAAGCTGTAATTATATAATATACATTTGTTTAAATGAAACCAATCTGTTAACATTTCTGTGGATTTATTACGTTGGTTATTAAACTGTCCACATGCATCTCCTTCTACTATTTTTTTCTGGCATGAAAATCCTTGGCATTTGGATTTTTGACTTTCATCTGAGCTTGCTGTGGACTTTAACTCAATAGAGATAAGTACTGTATGGTGCATATAATCTGCTTAGCCAAGTTTATGTCAGCACGTACCACATTTCAGAGATAAGCAAAAAATTAAGCAATCCGGTGCCATCTCGGTGTAATTACAGAAGCTGCAGTAATCGAGTTCAGTTAATTTCTCTCCCATTTTAAAGGAAGGGGATATGCTACATTCAAAATTGCCATTTCTCTATTCCAGGGGTCTGCAACCTTAAACATTCAAAGAGCCATTTGGACCCGTTTCCCACAGAAAATAAAACACCGGGAGCCACAAAAACCCTTCCCGTGCCTGACTATTTCCTGAGCGGCCACAAAACTAGCATATGTAGTTGAATTAAACCTTCTGTTTTCTTCTGAAACTTTTCTTTTCTTGGATTTATCCATGGTTGGCCTACCGGGAGTCGAAAAGCTCAATAAATTGTGTGCCAGCGGGTGTTGCACATTGGCGGTTGTGATGCATATTTTGAGCGATGGAGCTGTAGCAGAGGGATGAAAGAGCCACATGTGGCTCCAGAGCCCCGGGTTGCTGACCCCTGCGTCTATTCTGTTATCTCAGCTGATAATTTATGAGACCCAGTAGAAGGGAATAATTTTAATTTAACAGGTTAAGGTGCTGGTTTGATACGCTGTGGGAACACATGTAATTATGGTTTATTTAATAAAGGTTAACATCTGAATGCTGTGAGTGCATACAGGTGAGCCTCGACTTACAACCATTTATTTAGTCATCATTCGAAGTTCTAGCGGCCTTGAAAAACGTGACTTAACGGCCGTTTTTCATACAACTCTTGCAGCATCCCCTACATGATCACCTGATCAAAATTGGCAACTGACTCTTATTTATGAAGGTTGCCCTGTCCCAGGATGATGTGACCTTCTAGGCAAGCAAAGTCGATGAGGAAACCAGATTCACTTAACAGTGTTACTAACTTAACAACTGTAGTGATTCACTTAACAATGGCAGCAAGGAAAGTCATAAAATGTTGCTCAGAGAAAAAGCAGTGACCTATATTTGCATACCCCGTTTCCCCCCCCAAAATAAGACATCCCCTGATAATAAACCCAATCGGGCTTTTGAGCTCATGGCAATAAGGCCAAGCGCTTATTTCAGGGTTCAAAAAAAAAAATATAAGACAGGGCCTTATTTTCGGGGAAACACGATACCTACTTGCAAAACTCACTGAGCGACTTGTCTTGCTTAGCAACGAAAATGGCTGTAAGTCGAGGACCATCTGCACAGACGTAGGAAAGAGCGTAATAATGATGAAGCTGCAATAACGGAGAGGTAAAAAACCAACCTCTACCTGTGGCTGTTGCAGTAGGAGCTTATTTAATGGAACTGCTGATGGCAGCAAAGCAGACGTGTTTTCAAGTTAATCCTTATTGTTCGGGGAAGCTGTTTTTTTCCGTGACAGATGGGTGGCCTGCCAGGTGTACGCATGCAAATACAGGTGATTGCTTTTATTTGAGCAACAGCAATAGATTAGCAGCAGCTTCTCGATACGATTGGAGTTCCTGCATGGGCAGGAAAACAAAAGCCATCGGCCGGGCTTTTGTTTTTTCTTGAGTTTCCAAGGTGTAGCATTGAACCTTAAACTTTTGCAGGTGCTAAAGATAGAAAACATGCATAAAGGTAAAGCTTCCCCAGCACATGCGTGCTAGTCGTTTCCGGTTCTAGGGGGTAGTGCTCATCTCCGTTTCAAAGCCGAAGAGCCAGCGCTGTCCAAAGATGTCTCTGTGGTCATGTGGCCGGCATGACTGAACATGAAAGGCGCACGGAACGCTGTTACCTTCCCACCAAAGGTGGTCCCTATTTTTCTACTTGCATTTTTTACGTGCTTTCGAACTGCTAGGTTGGCAGAAGCTGGGACAAGGAATGGGAGCTCACCCTGTTACACGGCACTAGAGATTCGAACCACTGAACTGCCGACCTTCTGATTGACAAGCTCAGCCACTGAGCCACCACGTCCCTAGAAAACGTAGCTTACCTGAAATGTAGAATTGCATGCGGATTCTGTGGAGAGCATAGTTTGGCGAGCCACACTCTTCTGAACGAGCCACAATGAGTGGGGTTTAGGCATGGTGCCCAGGCATCATCTGAATGGTGTGTTGAGTTTATTTCAAGGTGAATGTAGTAATACTGAAAGGTGTTCTTCAACAATTGACCAATGGACTTTCATGCAATAACTTGAGCTGTAATTGATGCTGGGTGCGGGATTCTGGGAGTTGATGTCCACACAGCTTACAGTTCTCAAGGTTGAGAATCACTCTTCTAGACCAAAAACCAAACCAACCATATTATAGTTTAATGCTTCATCAAGGGTGAATGCTGGATATGGGAAGGAAGAGAGATGACTTGGATCTTTGGCCATCCAACATCCTTGGTGACACCTTCAGATTCCTGTAGCTTCCTTTTATGTATCTGAACATGATCCTCTCTCTCTTAAATCTTCTTTTCTTCAAACTGAATATCCCACATTATTTCTGCCTATCTTCATAGAGCATGTCCTCAGGTAGTTGCAATTTTAGTAAAGTAGTGGTAGATGGAGGAACAGGACATACCGAAGGCAATGATTATTGATTGTCTGAAGTGATGTACGGTTTCCTACCTAAGTAGGGAGTTGGACTAGAAGACCTCCAAGGTCCCTTCCAACTCTGTTATTCTATTCTATTCTATTCTATTCTATTTTATTCTATTCTATTCTATTCTATTCTATTCTATTCCATTCCATTCCATTCCA